CATTCCCAGCACCGGTTTTTGCTTTTTCTCTTCTACACCGTTTTAGCAACAATTTCTTTCTTAAAAAAAAAATACACACATTTATTTATTTAGTCATTCGTGTGTGTGTCCTCGCAGGTGCATTTGTGGAGTTCAGGAGATAGCTTGTGTGAATTGGTTTACTCTTCCTATGGAATCAAGAAGTCAAAAAGGTTAGCAGATAGGGCTACAAATACCTTTACCCATGGAGCCATCATTCTGGCCCAGGAGCAGTCTCTCAAGCCAAGGGGAAAGGGCTGGAGAGACGGCCCAGCAGTTAATAGCAGGGCTGCTCTTCTGGAAGGCCGGGATTGGATTCCCAGCACCCACACACCAGTGTACACATCCCTGTAAGTCCAGTTCCAGGAGATCTGATGACTTCCAACCTCCTCTGACTCTTGCGTGTATGTGGTACATATGCATGCACTCAGACACATACACATAAAATAAATGGTTCTTGATTGTTTGTTGTTTGTTTTTCTGTTTTAGAGACAGGGTTTCTCTGTGTAGCCCTGGCTGTCCTGGAACTCGCTCCGTAGACCAGGCTGGCCTCGAACTCCCAGATATCAGCCTGCCTCTGCCTCCCGAGTGCTGGGATTAAAGACTTGCTCCACCATGGCCCAGCTAAAATAAATGTTTTAAGAAGGAAAACACGGGCCAGGCGACGGTGGCGCACGCCTTTAATCCCAGCACTCGGGAGGCAGAGGCAGGCGGATCTCTGGGAGTTCGAGGCCAGCCTGGTCTACAAGAGCTAGTTCCAGGACAGGCACCAAAGCTACAGAGAAACCCTGTCTCGAAAAACCAAAAAAAAAAAAAGGAAAACATAATGTCTCAGCCTTGTCACCCACTCATCCGCACACACACAGACCTGCAAAGAAGAGCTGGGCCTGTGGCTCTGGAGACTGGGACTTTGCCCTCAGGCTGACGTGTGTGTGTGTGTGTGTGTGTGTGTGTGTGTGTGTGAAAGAGTAAAAGGGGGAGAGGGAGAGAGGGAGGGAGAAAGAGAGAGAGAGTAAGATGAAATATCATATTTTCAAGAACCTAGGGCAAGATCTCAAGTTCAAAGGACTGCAGAGGCCAGGCAGCTGTGAATGACAGGGTAGATATGAGACACCTCAGAGTATATGCTTTGCCTTGGCAACAATCCGTATTCAGAACCAGGCGTGATTTCCACAGAGACTGTAAAAGAAACTGTCTAACACCTCTAGATGTTTAAATGTTGCAGTAGATGGGTGGAGGGCAGATAGACAGTGTCTCATGCTACCTAGGGCTGGCCTAGAATTTTCTATGCAGTAAAGTTAAACTTGAACTCCGAAGCTTCCTCCTTCACCTCCCAAGTGCTGGGATTATCAGTGTGGGCCACCACATCCAGGTGTGCAATGGGATTTTTAGATTTTGTTTTTCTAAAAGCATTTAATCAGCCAGGTGGTGGTGGCTCACACCTTTAATCCCAGCACTCAGGAGGCAGAGGCAGACAGATCTCTGGGAGTTTGAGGCCAAGCTGGTCTACAGAGCAAGTTCCATGACAGCCAAGGCTACACAGAGAAACCCTGTCTCAAACAAACAAACACTGAATTACATGTATGTGTATGTCTGTGTATGGTTCTGTGCATGTGAGTGCAGGTGCCTTCAGAGGCCAGAGGAATCAGATTCCCCTGGATCTGGAGTGACAGGTAAGTGTGAGTCACCTGGGAACCAACTTTAGGGTCCTTTGCAAAACCAGGAACTGTTTTTAACAGCTGAGCCATCTATCTAACCCTTGCTAGAGAGATGGAAACAGTGCAAGACCCCCCAGCCTTGTACCCTTCAAATTCAAATGTTGATACTATTCTGGGGGAGGGGGACAAACACATCAGAGAGTCACATTCATCCCAAGGCTACCTGCTTTAAAACTCAGGGAACTGGAAGGCTTCCTTCTGAAGGAAGAGGTTGGGATAACCAACACGAAGAGAAGCCGGTAACTGATGAACCCAACTCACACAGCGCCCCCTGGTGGGCACAGCTTTGCAGACGCGTGAGATGTGACAAGCTCGTGGTCCCTCTTCTCAGCCTGGCCCTGGCTAGGGACAGTGGGGCCAGCATTTTGCGTGTACTGAGGACTAAGGCTATAGACACGGGCAGCTCAGTTTTGCCTGAGACAAACCCCAGAACAAGGAGAAGCAGAAAGAAAAAGGAAACATGCAAAAGCCACACATAAGAAGTCTCAGTGGACTCCACCACAGAAGGCTTAAAGCTGTCTTACTGGTTTGGAAAAATTAGCTTGACAGGTTTTACACCTTGGGTATCAAAGAACAATTCCTGTCTTTTACATCGATGAACTTGTTGAGTCCCTGAGGAAGTTTGCTTTCCAAGGGAAGGAAATGGTTTTGTTTTCTTCCTCTGTGTTTTATTAATGGTCACTTTGGCATCTGAAATGAGCCTGGAAACTGAGAACAAGAGGAAGTCAAATCTAATCAATAATAAAAGTAATTGTTGTTGCTGGAGATGGGATTTCTCAGCATAGCCCTGACTGTCCTGGAACTCACCCCGTAGCCCTCGAACTCGGAGATCCTCCTGCCTCTGCCTCCTGAGTGTAGGGATTAAAGGTACGCACCACCACCGCTCAGTTTATTTATTTGGTGTGCGTGTACAAACCCACCATAGCAAATGGTCAGAGGACAACTTGCAGAAGCTGGTTCTCCCCTTCACCATAAGTGTCCTGACACTCAAACTCAGGGCATCAGGCTTGGTGCAAGCACCCTCACCCACCAAGTCATTTCACTGGCCAAGTTCCTATTTATTTTTTAACTTTCACTTTATGTGTATGAGTGTTTTGCCTGATGTCTGAGCCAAGCCCAGAGAGGGTATCAGATCCCCTAAAATGAGAGTTACAGATGGTTGTGAGTCACCTTGTGGGCACTGGGGTTCAAAGCCTGGTCCTGGGAAAGAGCAGCCAGTGCTCTTAACCTCTGAGTCATTTTTCCAGCCCCCCATCTTATTTTATTTTGGTGTTTCATTTTTTGTTTGTCTTTGTTTTTGTCCCAACTATTATATGACCATGATATTCCTAGATATCTCTTTTGGTCTAAGAGCGCTCTAGAAAAACAACTGAAACACAAAGGCAGCCATGTGTGAACACCTCAGTGTAGGCTAAATGTCTTTCCTGGATTGTTGCTGTGTGGCCTTTTCTTCCCTGACTATTGCACTTCCCTTCCCTTCCACAATTGCCTGCTGTGCTGCCCCAGCTTCCCTCATAACTCTGACATCAACAGTCCCCTCCCCATCTCTCAGAATGACAGTCCTTGAATAACCCTGGTTTGGTGCTGTGCAATAGGGAGACATCCATGTATTGTTTTACCTTGACAGTGATCTGCAGGAAACAGAAGTGTCAGGAATGAAGGATCCTGCTGGTCACACAGGAGGTGGCTTAGGCGAGGTCGTCAGCCTCATTGCTCCCACCTCCCTCTCAGGAACGGGTGGGACTTGGATGACAGAGGATAAGAAGGCCACATAGAGGTCGGCCCACTATACAGTAAGCCAGGCTCCTAATTTTGGTGTACTTTTCGAGGGAGCCCCCAAATTATTGAAGCTCTAAGATCCCCCAAACTTGACTTTGCCCTGGTTCTGTGTGTCTCTGTGAGGAGGAGGAGAGTTGTGTAACTGTTTCCTCCGTGACTGAAACTCTCCACCCTGCAGGGAAGCTCCTGAAGCAGGAAGGTAAAAACAACTCAAAATAGCTTCAGGAAGTCCCTGAAACGGACTAGAATCACTAGGCCCCGCCCTGCCAGAGTAAGCAATAAAAGCTGAGAGTTCCTGAGACTTGCTGATATAGGTGCAAAGACTCTCAGAGGTGGAAGGTCGCCCAGCTCTGGGGTCAGACCAGCTCCCTGGAGGAATAACCAGCAGAGCTGCTGGGGACAGATTTAGACCAGAGTCACTTGGAAAGGACACTCCTTCCTGTTGTGCAGCCTGCAGGCTGTTCAGTGTGCTCCAGATTCCCACCCTTTGTAAGCCACCACCATGCTGGGGTGGACCTTGGTAGTGTACCATGTCTGCTCCTGTAAGAAACCCACCCCAATGAAACTCTGGTTCACCAAGCCATACTTCAATCTGTCGTGAGTTCCCTGTCCGGGGTGATTAGATGTGTGTGTGTGTGTGTGTGTGTGTGTGTGTGTGTGTGTGTGTGTGCATCTGCCTAGGAAGGGTTTTGTCCCACAACAGTGTCCCCACTAGACCCAGAAGGCATCACTGTAGACCGCGATCATCAACACTGCTAACCCTCTCTTCGGCATCCTATGCATGTGGATACATCACCCGCCCCCTTCCCACTCCCCTCTCCTAGCTCTGTGTCCTGAAAAGCTCTCAGCACACCCAGGGAAGAAAGGTTCCTCCCAACAGCACTAAACACAGGCTGCCTTTCTAGCCCCCTACAGTCTTCTCGACTCCCCCACGCTCCTCCTTCCCTCCCTTCAGCCTTTGTCTCCGTGTTCCCACCTCTGCTTTCCACTCACCCATGCTTGCGCGCCCCGCCATCCTCTCTCTCACTGCTCACCACGGAGCCAGGCCCAGCTGGGGATGTGGCAGAGGGTTCCCTGCCCACAGGCAGGCAGAGATCTGGGGCCCCCTTAGCTCTCTGGGAACCGATGCTCTGGGTTTGCCTCTGCGCTTTGACTGAACCTGGCCAGTTCTTTCTTCCTTCTAAAAGGACTTTCTCCGTGTGCACAGACCTGGGCCCTGGGCTCCTTGTCCTAGTGTTTTCTCTCCAGGAATCAGGAAAAGACAGACAGGGGACATTCCTAGAGACCATGAGTGTGGCCCAGTACTCGTCCTCCCTACCCACTTCACTGGAGGTGTCTTAGGTCCTGCCACTGGGAAAGCAGGCCAGAAGGCTTTGGGTCCCTGTCTGGTTGTCTGTTACTGGCAGCTCGCTGCCCCTTGTGCATCTCCACCCTCCTCCAATGCTGCCCTCCTAATTCCCAAGGCACTCACTCCCTTCTTTCCAGGTTGTGGCAATTAAGCCCCCTTGAAAACATCACAGCCTCGCCCTGGGTCCCCAGAGAAGCTGCTAGGACAGATGTTTGGTTCCCAGAGCAAAAATAGCGGTTAAAGAACAGAATGGATTCTCAACAATCTGAAGACATCTGTTTGCTGCATCCCACCCTGGGGCTTCCCGTGCCTTCAGGAGCATCAGCAGACCACCCAGGAGCTGTTTCAGTATGTTTAAAACTGGTTCTCCGCCAGGATTCACTGATAGCCTCAGGATATTCCTTCAACCTCAACTTCCTGTGCTGAGGCCGGTGAAGGAGGAAAGAAGAAGACCGAATCCCAGGTCAGGCCCCTCTCTTTCCCCACGTGTTTTCTTTACTTGCTTTACTTGTTTATTTTGGTGTATGTGTATGCATGTTCATACACAAATGCATGTGGGGTGGTATGTGCATTTGGAGGCCAGTGATTGACGTCCTGTCTTCCTCGATTACTCTCTGCCTTTTCCCTTTGGAGACAGGGTCTCTCACTAAACCCGGAGCTCACCAACTTGAGCAGACTGGCTGGCAACCACACTCCGGGAATTCTGCTGTCTCCACCTCCCCAGCACTGGGATTACAGCACTGCACCACCAAATGTGACCTTCCGTTCTTTTCCTTCTGAGATCTCGCTGTACAACCCTGGTGGGTCTGGAGCTCCTATGTAGACCAGGCTGGCCTCAAACTCATGAAGATCCACCCCCACCCCACCCCATGCTACCTCTGCCTTCTGAGTGCTGGGATTAAAGGTGTTCAACTCCATGCTCTATTCTGAACCCAAAGTGAGTTCAGAACCCTAACTTAGGCCCTCAGACCTACCAGCCATCCCCCAGAGCCTGCTCCTTTATTCGTCATGTATGTGACAGGTCTTACCATACAGTGAACTCTGAATCCTCCTGCCTCAGCCTCCTCCTGGAGTGCTGGATAATAGATGTGAATATATATATATATATATATATATATAGTTTTTTAGGTTTTTTTTTTTTTTTTTTTGGCTGGTTGGGGGTTGGTTGAGGTTTGTTGTTTTGAGACAGAATATCACCACGTAGCTCTGGCTGGCCAGAACTCACTATGTAGAGAATGCTGGCCTTGGCCTTGAGCTGCTTTCTTCCTTTAAAAAAAAAAGAGAGAGAGAGAGAGAGAGAGAGACTTTTAAATTTTCTGTGTATGAGGGCTGGAGAGATGACTCAGCAGACTCAGCAGTCAAGAGCACTCACTGCTCTTCCAGAGAAGCCAGGTTCAATTCCCAGCACCCACATGGCAGCTAGCAACACCTACAACTCCGGGATCTGATGCCCTCACACAGACACATGCGCAGGCAAAACACTAGTGCACATAAAATAAAAATAAATTATGTTTTAAATTTATGTGTGTGAGTGTTTTACTCACATGTATGTCTGTGTATCGTGTACATCCTAGAAGTGGAGTTATGGACAGTAATGAGCTGCCGTGTAAGTGTTGGGAATCAAATGCAGGTCCTCTGCAAGAACACCCATGCCGGGCAGTGGTGGTGCACACTTTTAATCCCAGCACTTGGGAGGGAGAGGCAGACAGATCTCAGTGAGCTTGAGGCCAGCCTGATCTACAAAGCAGGTTCCAGGACAGCCAGGGCTTGTTACACAAAGAAACCCTGTCTCGAAAAACCAACAAAAATTCAAGGACAACTTTGGCTACCTAGTAAGTTCAGGGCTAGCACAAAACATTGTTTTAACATACAAAAAACTAAATAATAGTAAAATATAAGCAGCTAGAACATTAGGGTGACTATAAGAACGTCTCTGTGTTAAAAACTCATAGGTCTCTCTCATTCTGGTGTCTGGTTCTTCTAAATGGGTGGATACTGAGGGCGACAGAGAAGTCGAAAGAGGAAATCTGAAACCGCCCACTCTTTACGGCGGAGAGTGGGGGGTGACTAGCCTGTCCCTGGAACCCTATCAGCATTCTCTTTCACATCACAGCTCTGGAATGAGGAGACCCAGTGGGAAAGCACCGTCCAGACGTAGGCTAACCCCGCCATCTGCCGGTGGCAGGAGCCTGAGGGCTTCTTGGACCATTGGGAGCTAAGTAGGATCTCAGGTTCACCACTGAGCGGCGCACTTGGGTTACGTTTTTTGCTGTTCCATCCATCAACCCATGCGCTGCAGGCTGGGAATGTCTCAGGTGGCCACACTTCTCCTGGTCCTTCAGTTCCTTCATCCTCTGGAGGCCGACTTGACCGTGACAGAAGAGGTGGTGATGAAGTCCCAGGACCCCACCAGGCACCGTTTTCATGAAAACCCTGGAAACAGGTGCTGCACACGGCCCTGTCTTCTCTTACCAGAGAAGAGGAACTGTCCTTGGCTTGGGGGCCAATTTCGATTTTCTTCACCGTTCTCCAGAAGGAGGCACCAAGGCTGGTCCTGTATTTCCCTGCTGTACTTCTTGACGTATTTCGTCATGTCACTGGGACCCAAGAGCAAACCTGTGACATACATCTTTTTCTGAGTCTGGCTTATTCCAGGTAACAGGATAATCTCCAGTCTGTTCTACTTCCTCTCCGGTTCCATTGCATTGCCTGCAAAGGACAGAATTTTGTTCTTTATGGCTGAAAAATGTTCATTGAGGGGCTGGCAAGACGTCTCAGCAGTGAGGTGCTGTATTCATTCTTTAGTGGACACTGCGACTGGTTCCATACCTCGTATTTTGAGTTCTATATAAACATGGACACACAGGTGTCTCTGTAGCACGTTGACATAAATTCCTTTAGGTAATAGGGGTTATTACTAATAATTTTAGCTTTTGAAAATATTAGTTCACCAGATAGTTTTTCAGGTTCTGGCGCTTGAAGTCAGCACTGACAACTTTAATTCCGTCTCCAGAACCCACACGGTAGAGGGAGAGAACCAGAGAACCGACTTCTGCGAGTCTCCTCTGACATAGGCACTGATGCCGCGACATGTTCGTGGCCACACAAGTACATACACACAAAATAAGTCAATAAATAAGTAAATACATAGCTTTAAAAAATTATTGCCAGACGGTGGTGGTGCATACCTTTAATCCCAGCCCTCGGGAGGTAGAGGCAGGTGGAGCTCTGTGAGTTTGAGGCGAGTGTGGTCTACAGAGAGAGTTCCAGGACAGGCTCCAAAGCTACACAGAGAAACACTGTCTCAAAAAAAAAAAAGAAAGAAAGAAAGAAAGAAAGAAAGAAAGAAAGAAAGAAAGAAAGAGAAAGGAAAAAAATAAATTTTTATGCATATGGGTGTTTTGTCTATATGTAAGTCTGGGCATCACTTGCCTGACACCTAGGGAAGCCAGAAAAGGGTATTTGGCCTCCTGGAACTGGAGTTACTGCCCATGTAGGTGATGGGACTTGAACCCAGGACTGAAAGAGCAACCAGGGCTCTTAACCACTCAGCCATCTCCAGCTAGCAGTTCCACAATTTTGGCCTAGTATTCATAACCTGGGTTTGTATCTCCAGCACTGCAATATGCGTGTGCATGTGTATTATGAATACATTTTGCACTAGATAATTATTTGTCTTGATTACTGAGGTTTTGCCACACTCCCTCAAATTTTGCACCCTAAATGTTAGGCACCTCTCTTGCCTCCTTTTCCTACAACTTCACTCAGTATCTATCAGCTTATTATTGGGACAGGGTCCCATGGAGCCCAGGCTGGCCTCAAACTCGGTATACTTGAGGATGACTTAAACTCCTGACCATCTTACCTACACCTGGGATTCCAGACTGAGCCACATTGCCCGACTCTCCTACGGCTTTATCCTCCTGAAGTCTGGACTCTTCACCTTTCTCATGTACTGTCTGGCCAGCACTGTCACCTCGTCAGAGGGCCTTACCTCTGCCATGCAGCCATCAGCAAAAATCCCTCTCCTTTTCCTTTTTGATCTGGGCCAGGCAGCTTTGCTACCAGATCAGAGAGTCGCTGCCCTAAGGCAGCTGCTAAGTAAGAAGACATACCATGGCATAGTTACAAGACTTGTTTCTGTCTTTAGCCAGAATCTCAATGTGTATTTCATCCTCCTGCCTCAGCCTCCTTAACGCTGGGGTTACAGGTGTCTAGGCCACCTCTGACTGCTGTGGAATTCTGCTGACCCAAGGAAGGGATACATCTGGGATTGTAGGGGAAAAGGACCTGGAAGGCCTCTGCCTCAGTTCCTATCCATGTAAGTTGCTGCGTCCATACCTGAACAAGTCCCAAGTCACTGCTGCTAAAATTCCTGGGGGAGACTTAAACAATGGCTCCCTCCCCTCAAGTTCTCAACGGCAAACCAAGGTGTGAGACCACCAAAGTTCTCGCTGGCACCAATGATGAGTTTGTCTGACTTATAGAGCGCATTTGAGGGGTCGCACCTTCCTGGTCCATGAGGCAGCCTGAAGTTGGACACTGGACTGGGGAAGAGCATGATTCATACAACAATGGTCTCCTGGGACATTGCTGCAGCCTGGTGCCCAGGGGGCCTCAGACTTCAAGGCCAAGCAGGAGGGGAAAGTGAATTATAAATCAAACCCTGGGCACCTGGAACCTGAAAATCTGGACTCTGAGCTTTATTTATTTATTTATGCTTTTTTAGATTTATTTTCCATGCATATGTGTGTGAGCCAGCTTGGGTTTATGTGTATCCAATGTGTGCGCAGGAACCTGTAGAGGTCAGAAGAGGATTCTGATCCCCTGAACTGAAGTTACATGTAGTTGTGAGCTGTCCACTGTAGGTGCTAGGTATGAAATACATACAGGTCTTGTGCAAGAACCATGGATAAGCTAAATAGCTGAGCCGTCTCTACAGGCTCCATTATTTATTTATTTGTTTGTTTGTTTATTTAAATTTTATTTATGGGGCTGGAGATGGAGAGGTGGCTCAGAGGTGAAGAGCACTGGCTGCTCTTCCAGAGGTCCTGAGTTCAATTCCCAGCAACCACATAGTGGTGCACAATGATCTATAACAAGATTTGGTGCCCTCTTCTGGCATGTAGTCATAAATTCCAGAACACTGTATACATACATACACAAATAAATAAATCTCTTTTAAAATTTATTTATTTTATGTAGATGAGTGCTTTATCTGCATGTACACCTGCAGGCCAGAAGAGGGCATCAGATCCCATTATAGATGATTATGAGACACTGTGGTTGCTGGGAATTGAACTCAGGACCTCTGAAAGAGCAGTCAGTGCTCTTAACCACTGAGCCATCTTTCCAGCCCCTTTATTTATTTTTGATTACATTTTATTCATTTATTTTGCATGTGGTGTGTCTGCCTGTGTGCCTGCATGTGTGCCCATGTATGTAGCGGTCAGGAGTTGTTTGTCTCCCTCTGTCAAGACTGGGGATCCAGCTCAGGTTGTCAGGCTTGGCAGCAAGCGCCTTTACCCATTGAGCCATCTTGCTGGCCCAGGGCTCTATTGTTTCCTTAGTCTTTTTCTGCTTAGGATGTCACCAGGCTTCTGACCATAGTCCTCGGGTCTCTCAAGGGCAGCCACCACTTCACCTTCCACCACCTTAGGGGGCTCCGTGCTACCCAGCCTGCCTTGGGGGATGGCCGGGACTTTAGACTAAGGTCTGTCCCTCCCCCACCCATTGGACATCCTGAGCACCTCTGAGGGTCCTCGCTGTCCTCTACTCTCTTGCTTCAATCAGACGCTTCTCTTCCAAGTCAGTCTGTCTGTCTGATCCTTCGGCTTCTTTGTAGCATGGATTAGAAACAGTTACTAAATGAATGCGAGAAGGCATGGGTGTAGCTTGGTGCTACGGCCCTTGCCTGGCATGTGTGAGGCGTGGGTTCGATCCCTAACACCTCAGACATATATGTGTAGTGACTAGCCAGATGTGGCAGTACATCTGGATCAGGAATTTAAGGTCATCCTTCATCCACCCCAATATAGGGACTTTATACTAACCTGGGATACACGAGACCTTGAAAACAACAGGTGGTTGTGGGGGACAGAGCCAGCATGAACTGCACTGCTTGCCCTCAAAGGAGCTAGCACAAAGGCCCACAGTGACGAAGGCTGGCAGGGATATGGAGCAACTGGAGGGATCATGCAGCGTTCATGTGGGTGGGAGGTAGGACAGGCATTTGGAAAAGAAGTTTGGTGATTTCTAGTAACACAAGTACTTCCTCTATGAGCAAAAATTTCCATCCTTGGCTATTGACGCAAGACAAATGAAAATGTGCTCATCATAAGACTTCTAGACACATAATCACAAAGTATTCATAGCTCCAAACCTAAATATCCAACAGGAGACTAGACCTAGAGAGACTCTGTGGTGTGTCCACACAGTAGAACGCTAAAGCAATGGGAAGGAGGGGGCTGCCAGCAGGCAGGAGCATGCATTCCCCTCGGGAACACTGTTGGGCAAGAGGCCAGCCAGGACAAAACAGCCAGGTGTGGTGGCCCGCGCCCTGAATCCCAGCCTTCAGGAGGAAGAGGCAGAATGGACCTCTGTGAGTTTGAGGACAGTCTGGTATACTTAAGGAGTTCCAGGCTAGCTAGGGCTACACAGTGAAACCCTGTCTCCCAAAATATATAATAATAACATTGCCTTATTGTTTAATCCTATTTATATGAACTTCTAGGACAAACGAAATTGTTTTGTTATGATAAATGTCAAAAGAGTGGTTATCTCAGCCGGGCTGGGATGTCCTACGCCTTTAATCCCAACACTTGGGAGGCAGAGACAGGCGGATCTCTGTGACTTTGAGGCCAACCTGGTCTATAGAGAGAGTTCCAGGACAGCCAGGACTGTTACACAGAGAAACCATGTCTCTAACCCCCCCCCCAAAAAAAGAGTGGTTATTTCCAGGCATATAATTCAATTTTAGCACTCTGGAGGCTGAGGCAGGTGGATCTCTGTGAGTTCAAAACCAGTCTGTTCTATACAGCAAGTTCTAAAACAGCCATAAAGACCCTATTATTTTTTTAATTAAAATATTATTTTATGTATATGAGTGTTTTGCTTGTATGTATGTCTATACCACGTGTGTGCCTGGTGCTAATGGAAGCCAGAAGAGAGCATTGGATCACCTCAACTAGAGTTACAGACAGTGATGAACTGCTATGTGGGTGCTGGGAATTGAACCCAAGTCCTCTGGAAGAGCAGACAGTGCTCTTAACCACTGAGCTCTTTCTCCAGCCCTAAGACTCTATTCTTTTTTTTTAAAAAAAAATTTATTTATTATGTATACAATACAGTGTTCTGCCTCCATGTATGACTGCATGCCAGAAGAGGGCACCAGATCTCATTGTAGATGGTTGTGAGCCACCATGTGGTTAATGGGAATTGAACTCAGGACCTCTGGAAGAGCAGTCAGCGTCCTTAACCATCTCTCCAGTCCCCGAGACCCTATTCTTAAAAAATAAAAAAAATTAAAAAAAAGATTATCTTTGAAGCAATGTAGCCTGTCAGGGAGAACTTTCTGGTTTCTGGAAGTGTTTTATACAAGCAGAAGAGATGACATGATACACACATGCATGTACACATACAAACAACTAGCATGTAACCCGGGCTGTCCTGGAAGTCACTACACAGCCCAAGCTGGCCTCTGTCTTTCAATGATCCTCCTGCCCCAGCTTCTCAAAATATGTGCCACTACACCCAGCCCAAATCATACTTTTAAGATTCTCTGAGAAGGGCTGGGTGTTGTGGTAGAGTATTTGCCTAGCGTGCCCAGCACTGGGGAGGTAGGGACGGGAGAATCATCTTGGTTAACTGCTAAATTTGAAGTCGTCCTGAGCTACGTGAGCCCCTGACTACCAACCTGCTACCTACTGAAAGCCAGGCATGTTTGTAAAAGCAAACTAAAGAAAGAGAAAGGAAACAAACGCATGGGGTGTCTGACCTTGTTGCCCAGATGGCCTCTGGCCTACTGGGAGCAGCCTCAGGGATGATTTTCACAAATCAGGCCTTCAGTTTAGCTGGTGCACCTGTGGCACAGCTTCTATCTCTGGTGGCCTGTTTTGCATGCTGCCACTTCCCCCAATGACATCCTGCCTTGAGATATGCCCTCCCAGTAAGGGACTCCAGTCAGGTCCCTGTCTGCCCTCCAGCTGCCAGAGTTAGCATCTGGTGGGGCTGGAGCTCTGTGGTGGAGTGCCTGCCTCATGTGGAGGGGTTCTAGCTGTACCTCCAAATTAGACCCAAGAACCT